ATTTTGTGCATTATTGGGAATTATTTATAGAAAATCCTCAGCGATTTTATATATGGACTTTTTAAAAATCAAAAAGTCGGATTATTTTCTACGTTCTAGAAAATTGATGAGGATTTTCTAAATGATGAAGAAGGACAATTTGGGTGAGAATGCTGATAATCAGCGACTTGCAAAGTGAAAATGGCTGAAGATAAACTTTTTCACCGTTATTAAAAGCTATTGAACTTCGAAGTTCAGTGGGGTGTATTATTTCAGCTTATTGGATGACAATATGGATCTTTACTAATGAAAACCAAATTCGACATCGATCACGTGTTGAACAACTGTTATTTTATTTAAAAAATAATAAAATAAATGTAAATTGTTAGGATCATGTCTTTGGGTTAATAGAACCAACCACATTTTTCGAAGATGCTAAATTCAGACATAAAAATGAGGAATATTAGCAAGAGAGAATCGCTTTGTGATATTCAGAAAGTTGCGTGGAACTTGACTTTGTCTTAACTAGGCAACCCAAGAACCTTTTCAGTACCTCTTTATGATCTCCAAGTATCATACAACAACAATACCTCTCGAAGGATATGTTGATTTGCAAAAACTAAGAGAATTTTTCGAATCTACTAAAATTTTCGATGTTAAATACCAGAACGAGCAGAGATCTGTTACAGGACTTGCTGCAATGTAGGCTTTAATAGATGTGAAAGAAGCAAGAAAAAAATCATCGATTCGTCTTCTTAAAAAATCGCTGTCGAATTTCAAGAATGTTAGGATTTATTTATAGAAAACCGCTTTTGATTTTCTAGAATCTGGAAAATCGGGTCGATTTTCTACAATGTTGGAAATTATTTATAGAAAATCAACATTTTTTAAACAGTCAGAATATCGCTGAAGATTTTATAAAAGTTGGAAAATCCTTGTCCAGATCGATTTTCTATAAAGTAGAAAATAATTCCAAATTACAGTGTATCCTAGTGAAACTTCTTGTAACCAAGATCTTGTCTTCTTGAATTTTTCCAGTAAGATCATGATTCAACATCTAAGAAAATATAAGAATTCAAGAAATTTCAATAAGCCAAGATCTAGAACATCTTGAAATTTCTTGACTTCTTGTACCAAGATCTTGGAAATTCTTGAATCATCGTTTGGTTTACACCCTTGTGTAAATATAAGTACGAATATTTTCACACTTAGAATAACTTCGAATTTTTTCCGTTCTTGAACATTAATTATTATTTAAGGCAGAACCTATGATTCTATATGACCGTATATCTGATGGCTACGGCTATCATAAATGAAAACAGAATGTAAAGAAAAATTTTCACTTAAGCTCTTGCAACATCTTGAATGGATTCATGCAAGGCCTTGAAATTTCTGTTCCCAAGATCTTGGTCAAGATCTTGAGTGAAAGATTCAAGAATGCAAGGTCTTGACTTTTTGACGTTTTTTTCTTGTGGCATTGTGACCAAAGATCTTAGGTACAAGAAGTTTCACTAGGGTAAAACTTTAATCCAATCCCTAGTGAATGTACTTGCATACGAGTACTCGCTCCAAGTACTCTTCGCAAATTTTATCCAATGTTTCTAGGATTTCTGGCAGTAAATCAAGCCTCTGACTGATACTTTCATATACTTTGACAAGTAACTACGAAGTATAATTTTACAGAGATACGTATCAAATGCTTGCCAGGTATTCACAGAAATTCATAACTAAAAAGTACATTCACTAGGGATGAATTTGCGCATTTAAAAACGAACAAATGCATAAAATTTGCAGATGATTCCATAAATTATCGTGATACCGGATCAACGATTACGGTGGTGGTAAAAAATACCATTTTGATCATGAACTATTGCAATTTTTATCGTATTTTATTATTGTTAACATTTATGCAGACGTAATATTATAGTGTATATACGCTCCCAACAATGCGTTCTAGTCATAATAAAACGTCTTATTACGCCTACATGTCAATGACAAAATACGATGAATATTATTGTAACAATTTGACTTTGGGTAATATAATGAAAACATATCTAAAAATATTTATTTTCCTGCATTATCTTTTTCAAATATAAATATTTGTGTTCGTGCTCTTTTTTGTGCATATTTATATTCTTCAATGTGAATAATCTCTTTTGTGAAAGGTTCATGAATTTTCGATACTCTTGTGTCCAATATAACACGCAGTAGTTGTGGCGCTAGTATAGTTAATACACCGGGATCAAAATGCAATTATTGTTTTGTTGTAAGACTACAGGCTTTCTGTGATACTATTAGTCAAAAAATATTTCATTTGCAGACGTTGCATTTCTTTGAGGTCAATAATTTCTTTTGTCCAAGTATCGTAAGTTTTTCATATTTTTTTGTCGTCAGCTCCCGACAGTCGTATTTCGGGTTTCGCTAGTATACAGGGACACTGACAATTTTCTTGTATGATCCTGAATTTTTAATCAAAGAAAGTAAGGTTCAATTATGTTTTCATAAGTATCACACAAGAAATGATTTTAACTCATTGGGAATACATTTCTATTGTGACAGCTAGTGGTTCTATAACTGAGTAGAAAGAGTGAGATTCGACTTCCCGTTTGTATCATTGCTCACTTTAGAAAGAGATTTTGAGTTCGAGTCCTAGTACAGAATCATATCATTATTTTCTCACATTCAATTCTTCTATCTAAACCTTAAAGAATTTCATTAGAAATCCTCTATTCAAACACTTTGTGCAGTATTGCAGTAGGTATATATATATTCATTAATTTGTTGTCGGTTTACAACTTCGTTCATAGACAAACACAAAATAAAAAGTTTGCATCTTATCTTCTTTTTTTTACTATACTACACTGAAAATACAGATAATCTTAGCTAAAAATATGAAAAAATGATCTTTCAATGTTATATACAGTTATAAATAGATTTTCTGCTTAGGGCAAACAAGAGAAAGAAATTTATGATAAATAAATAAGAGTCGTCATTATTCGACCGAAGAGCTTCTCATTGAGGACAATAACACTTTTTGGCTAATTGCTATAGAACGAGAAGAAATATTCTTGCTGGTCGTCTTAAATGAGATAAAAAGAAGATATATTTGATATGGAGTTTGACAATATTACTTATGAAAATATAACATTATTTTAGGTAAATAAATATTTTTTTTCTATTGCAACACTTTAGTTTTCTCCTGTTAATGAATATAAAACTCGAAACAAATGTTTGACAGAAAATCTGTTCTTTTAGAAGTAAATCTATTCTGTTGTCATCATTAATACAGAGCAAGTAAAGACAGAAAGAAAAAAAAAATCAGATATTCTTGTACTAGACTTAGATATATCGAGTTTATTTAGAAAACCTATTAGTAAGGAAAATATTCTCTGTTCGTTTGTGATTTTCTATACACTGCTATTCTATTTCATTACATAAACCTGATAAATGTCTCTCTCTCGCTCAACACAAAAAATAGTTTTTTTTTTTGCTTTCTTCATTCTTTCTTTTGTTTTTTTCTGTGCAAGAAGAAAAAAATTCTTTTTTATTCATTCTGCTGCCTGTTTATGAATACTGACTGTGTGTGTTTGGAAAACATAGTTTATGCGTTAAGGGTTCTTTTATTATTCGGAAAATATATCTCGTCAAAAATCGCATTGTGTATGTTTGTGAGGAGTGGGTGATTAATTGAACATGAATTTGAAAGAGAGAAAAAGAAAAATGATCGGTAAATTCTTAGCGACAAAAAAAAATGTGGTCTTCGTTTTTCAATATGGAAAAAAATAATAGACTTTTCTTTTATTATCTTTTCTCTTTTATTTATTTTTTTCTTAGTTGTCGTTCAACTATTTAAAGTTGACTTACAAACAAATGACAAAGATAGGTATTTATACCCGGAAACTAAATAGATTATATACATCAGTGTTGTACGTTAGATTGAGACCAATCATGAATTTATAAAGGTAATATCAATTTGTCCTAATGAAAAGTATGTCTAATCTAAGAATAATTAAAAATTTGTCAATGAAACGTAGTCACTATTTTGTAGTAAATAACTACATAGTTTAGAAAAGATTATTTTATTGTTTATTTTCGTACTTGTTAAACAACAATACAATTCTAATTCTATTATTTTAAAGAAAATATCTATATTATTCATATTAACACATTGCTATCTATCGAGTTTTTAATGCAGTGCGAAGCAATACCACATTATAGTAATAAATTGTTTGACGAAATTGTAAGGCCCAAAGGGAACTGTGTGTCTGAATTAATAAATAAGCTATTTTCAGTCTTTGTAGATGTTCCAGTGGAGAGTTAGGACGTTTGAAAATACGTGATTTGAAGGTCTGGGATTTATAATTTTTTTTCAAAATAAAAGAACGATAATTAATCTGAGTTATTCATGTGCAAGTGCATTTATAAGAGAGTACGTTCCCATACTATGTCATTCATTTCATGACAATATTTTTATATGTATTCAACGAATAATTAACGCAATGCCTAGCCTTTAAATGCATTACTGTTTTAAAGATAATTAACGCGGTATGTAAGATAAAATTTCTAGGTTAAAGTTTAGTTGCAACTGAAAGCAGAAAAAGGGGCCCATAGTTTTAGACTAATACATCATTCATAACACTACCAGACTTCAGTAATCAAAACATTTTTTTGTTATGTGGCAGGTAATCTACACTTTTTTCATCAGTTATGTGGTAAAGCTGCTGTAGGTTATGTTATTAAACAAAATCTTCACTTCCGGTTATCATATTTAGCTGTTTCGTACCGCATTTACAACTCTCGCTGGCATGATTGTCGACTAGTTAGTTATAAATATGATCAAATAATATTTTTGTTCTTGTCAAATCTAACAATGATCAAATTAACTGTTTATTCAATTTTAGATATCAATTTTGTCAATTTTAAACAATATTGAATTTGTTTATCGTATACGTTAATGTTAAACAATGGTCATTGAATACAGACTTTTTTCTTATAATCAATAATATTTATTTATATAATACATGAATTTTGAAAATACTCTACGTCATCTATTATCTACAACGTTTCATTTGTTTCTATTTTTATTATGGTGTATTCAATCGTCATTTGGTGATACATCATCATGTCGGAAACAAGTTGAATGTTTTATATGCGATTCACGTGATATACCTGAATGTGAAAATTCAAATAATTTTCTTCAAGTACATATACCAATAAAATTATGTGATGATTATTGTGTAAAAATGTGGACACGTGAAAATGAGAGTATATCTGGTACGGGCATACAAGCATCACGTTATGTTAAACGAGATTGTCATAAAATATTTCGTTATCATATTAAAAAAGCTGAAACATGCTATAAACATAAAAAACATACATCTGATGTACTTTGTTTGTGTGGTACAGATCGTTGTAATTCAGCTAGAAGTTTATTAAGATTCAATTGGCTCTTTTTCCTCACATTTTATATATATTTTTATACCGATTTTTTTAATTCAAGAATCTATCGATAAATATATCTATAGTCATTTACATCTATCAAAAAAGAATATATGTATTATTATTGTCAGTATCCTAGAATAGCACGCATTTTGATATCGAGCAACACTCATACTACAAAAAAAAACAGAAAAAAAATATGTTCATACACTATATTATCATAAAAATAGGAGTGAAAGACAATGTACGAAAAAAAAATCACCGGATCTAACAAAAAATTTAATTTCTTTTTAAGAAAGTGAAAGAAACAGAAAAATTTACAAAAAAAAAGAACATAACATGAAAAATTGCCTTTGAACATCGATGTATATGTTGATATGATATGATATGATATATGTGTATGTTTTGACTAATCGATCCATTCAATTGTTTGATTTTGTTTAGCAAATAAATCAAGATCGAGACCATAAACAAGTAGAATCTGTACGAGAAAAAAAATAGAAGAAATGTTTTTTAATTTTATTTTTTATCATTAGAAATTTCGACTTACTTGATCTGGTATATTATACAAAATACTAGAGTAAGGTTTACCATTAACCATAACACTGGTAGGTTGTTTCATAACACCAAGAAATTTTACAATATCCAAAGGTGGCATATTCTGGTAGTTTGTGACAATACCATTGATTGATAGAACGTTCTGTAAAAAAAAAGATTGAAATATATCGAAAAAACTAAAAAAAGAATAAAAATTTTCATTACCATTGCCAGAGAAAATTCAAAATAACTGTACATCTTTGTTTCAAGAACATCTAAAGATAAAATATATATCGTTATATTAACTAATTGTTTATTATATATCAAAACAATATCATACTTAATGAATCACCATCATCATAGAATAACGAGCCACTAGCTGTTGCTGTTGATGAAAGAGAAATAATTAATTGTAATGGATTTTTACGACCAATAATTAAATTTGGTCCTGGTGCTTGCATCGGAATTATAAAACCACCACGTAAATGAAGATTAATTTTTTCCAGTGGAGCATCGAGATTGACATAGGTTCCTGAACTAGATAGTTTATAACCAGATGGGAACTCATACCATACATCATCGGGAATATAAGCAGTAAGAATTGTCTTTTGCTGAAAATAAGAGTAAAGACAATTTCACTTATTCTGTTCTGATTGAAAAGCGTGAAGTTGCTATAGGCTAAAATTGACCTATTGTGAGATATTAATGATATTTTACGAACTAGATATAGTGTGCGTAGAGAAGTAAAACTGGATATTTTTCAATTCATAGAACTGTTTAGTAGGGACGATTCGAAACATTGATCATTCGAATTAAGGAGTTAATGACGCAACTATGGGAAGGGAACTATGATTTGAGCCTTGATCCTATATAAAAATTCTTTTGAGTGATTGGTGAGGATCACCTATATATTACTTACTTGGGGGTTGTAGAAAAATCGAGTTAACAGCTGAATCACAATGAATGAAAGACCCAAGTCTTCAGAATCATGTAGAGGACAGTTTAAACTATTAACTCACATAACTCTATCTCTCCTATCATCAAGTTGATCAGTTACTGAGTAAATCTTTCTTACAACGTGGAACATTAAAGTTTGAGTCTCAATGAATTTTAGAAAAAAAGAATTATTATATTATACTGCTGGTATTATATGGATGTCTTCTAGAAGGACAAGGAGATGAATCAGGACAAATTTAATATACAGTAAGATAGGGCATGTTTCGATGAATGGTTATCCTAACACATGACACATAAAATGTTTCCTCTCGTAAGACATTTTTAGGAATGTTCAGACACACAACAAATTTCTTAACAAGGCAATCGAAATGTGTCTTACCTAATGGTTAAGACACATTTTAGTACACGTTCTTTTACAGTATAGTTTACTCATCTACTCAAACTGTATTTATCCCGACAATAAGATAATTTCAGTCTAGAATAAGCCTCCTTCTTTACGTACATACCGACTCCAAAACAGGTGACACTAAAATTGCTCGTCCAATTAAATACTGTTCGTCAATACCAAATGTATTTTTATCATTTGGAAATCTGAATTTGAAAATATATTATCTATCTTGAGTTTTGTCAGTTAGAGAACAGTTTCACATACTCAAAAACTAACGGTTGTATAACCGTTGAGCTTGTTGCATTAGCTTTATGAAATAATGTATACCAAAATGGTAATAACGAATATCGTGTTAGTAGTGCTTGTTTCATTATCTGTTGAGATTCCCAACTAAACGCTGCGGGATCTTGATCCTTTAAAGAAAGAAAAATTTAAATAAGAACTTGATAAACACATTCCAGTCGTTACTTTTTGTCCAAGATCATTGTGATTTCTCATGAACGGATAGAAGGCGCCAAGTTGCATCCATCTGGTACACAATTCTTCTGTCGTATCAAGCCCAAAACCACAAATATCAGGTCCGATCAACGGAATCCCAAACATATTAAAGTTAATTATGCCTAAAACAAAGTGGTGTAACGTTACAAACAGGCATAAATCTGACCTTTAGACAAACACGTACTTGGTATTGAAAAGTACATATCATCCCATGTGGCTCTATTATCTCCTGTCCAGTGAAACGCATATTTTCCCGAACCAGCAAATGTTGATCGAGAAAGAATAAATGGTCGTTTATTTCTGATCTTTTTTAAAGCACTAAAACAATAATGGAAGACGTTGAGAGATGAAAAATTAAAATACTCAGAATTATAAACATACACATTGGTCACCATAGATTCGAAATAACCGTAGAGGCTATGCAAATTATAGTGGGATGATAGATTTTGTTGAGCCGATGGACAGACAGATTTTGACTGCAAAACCCCACCAAGTACATCTAAAATAAAATAAACGTCCATAAAAACTGCCATTCATACATAATTAAATTCTTATAGTTTACAAGTATCTTGTAAACATTTTCGAAAGAAAATAAAGTCTACTTAATCGGAGTAAAGGGCGGATTGTCCAACGGTGAACTTGTGCAACCTTCTTCTGATCCATCAACGAAATTGCTAGGCTCATTCATATCAATCCAGAGACCGTCAAATGGAATGATCTCATGAAATGTTGCTACAATTTCCGTCCACCATTCTTGTGCAGCGGGATTTGTGAAATCAGGGAATGCTACTGCACCAGGCCAAACCTGATATAAAATAACAAACAAATTCAAATGTAATGAGATTTTTTTTCTTAAAGTAAAAGTACTAGTAATATACCCGGCCAATAACTGGATCACTCGAATTATACTTCGTTATGAAAATTCTATATTTTAAGCCGTTATCATATGGAAGATAGGTACCCGTTTGTTGCGTCGAACTTATACCAGGATCAATTATGTTCACGTAAAACATGCCTTGCGATTGCAAAAAACGTACTAATTCAGGTAGACCATTATAATTTACTTTATCATATGTAAAATCTAATCGACTATCCATAGCATCTAAATATAAGAAATGGAATTTATCATCAGAATATGTTTCGAAAAGTATTTTGTTTTTACCAATATCGGTCCATTGCACATCATAAGGAAACTGAGCATCTTTCATTCGTTGAATAACAGTGCGAAGTTTATCAATACTATTATAACCATATCGACATAAATGAAAACCCAATGACCAATAGGGAGGCATTGTTGGTTTGCCGATTACGTCCCAATATTGTGAAATAACATCTGCTGCTGATGGACCCGTAAAAATGTATAAATCAATAATACCACCAATTGTTGTATAGGTGATTGCAGGAAGAGGTTGTAAATTAATATCCATCTACAAAGTTTAGTTTGATGTTAAAATAGTTGGGTTGTTTTTTTTTTTGTTATTAAACACTTACTGCATTTGAGTTAAGCAAAAATTGTCCATGAAAATCATTTGTTGCTCCTGTTTCTATATTCATATGAAATGGATGTACACCATATAGATTAAAATTTTGAATGGGAGGAAAATCACGAGTCCAAAAGGTCACTAATATAGAAAAAAAAGAAATAGAAAATAAGAAATTAATAATATTTTATATACATTACAAGAAAACTTACTTTTACGCCAATCGGAGGTAATATTTATTAGTAATGATGATTGATGTTCACCCTAAAAGATACACAATTATATATTGAAATAAAAAATTGTATGAAAAACTTGCCAAACCATAAACATAAGGACTAGATAAACTACTAGAAAATTTTATAAACTGATCAGCATATATTATTGGCGCTACGCTTGAATCAAACCTAACAAAAAAAAAGAAGAAAATATAAGAAAATATAATTTTTTTTAAAATCAAAACTTAAGTATAAAATAGAGAACCTACAATACAGCACCGTTTGATTTTCTTGTCACACGAATAGAAAATGGTATATCTTTAATTCCAACATCATAATCTGTATTATCTACACGTGTCGAAACATTTGGTACATTTAATGGTACTTCATAACGTTTTACTTTTGAATCATATATTCGTAAACGAAAACGTGTAGATGTTTCATATATTAAATCAACTGTTAATTCTAATATTTCATTTGGTATATAGGCTTTTTGTGTTTTATTAATAATTAAACGTAGTCCAAATGATGTTGCTTCTTTTGATATAAGAGAATATGTTGAAAAATTTTTTGGATAATAACAATATGGTACACCAATATCGAGAAATGAATTTTTAACTGAACTATTTTGAGGTAAACGCCAACAACAACCACGATTTAAACAACTATCAGCAGTTACATTTGATTCAGGAAAACAATCAAAACGTGATTCATCTGAACTAAAATCACATGTTTGAGATTGTACATATGATATATAAAATAATAATAGTAATAAATATATACTAAATTGATTGGCAATCATTGGACTAATTTTCCTAGAAAAAATTTTTTTATTGTTATAGTTAAAAATAAAATTATTATATGATCAAATTAAATTTAACGAATATTAATTTTTAAAATTCTATTAAATTATGGAAAAAACTATGTCGTTGTGACAAATTGTGTATATTTTCAAAAGAAAAATAAATATATACACAAGTATTTTACAAAAAAAAAAAAGAAAAAAAAGAATTATATGATATTATCAAATATAAAAGAAAAGGAAAAGATATTTACAAAAAGTAAAGAAGGAGTGAAAACAAAATGCGTATCCACTGTTGTTAAAAGATAAAATCACCGGATTGTATAGGTTTTATAAAATAAATATATTCATATACATAGATGTTCTATGTTCTCTTAATATTTTTTTTGTTCATTTTGCTCTCAGATCAGCCATCGGATAATATGGAGATTTTATTAATATATGACAATTTGAACTCAAGACGAGTTAGAGAATATTTTAAATTCGTTTATGTATCTGTGTTTGTAATTCAGGAAATAATTCTAAAAGTATTTCATCCAAGATCATGTAAAAAAGCTAAAATAAAAATGAAACAATATTTTTTGAAAAAAATATATTTTTATTTTTTTCTTGACTATTTTATTCGTACTTGTTTATTTAATAATGGATCTTGAAAATATTGAAATATTAATTGAATACCATGTTGAATATTCTTTTTTCCAATAAGAAATTTTAAATAATCTTAATAAAAAAAAAGAAGAAAAAAAATAGAAATAAAAAATTATTTAACAGAAATAGAAACAATTTTACTGGGAAGGTAATCAGCAGCAGCTGTCACAACATCATCAAAAGTAATTATATTTGTTGAACTAGAAATGAAATATTTGGGTTAGTTAAAAATGACTATATATCTTGACTATCTTACTTTAAATCTGTTTTCTCATTGGGAAATAACGCATCTAAATAACATAAAAATATTTTCGATTATTAATACAAAATTATTTCTATTTGTTCGATTACCTCTCAATGCGTGAATAACATCGATAATATTTTCTTCATCGGCTAGTAAATCGTCGACTTTTTGATCGATATAATTTGTAAAAAATGTATCAAACGTATTTTTCAAGGGTAAACGTAAAATTTCTAATAAATCTATTAAATTTGGAGATGCAGAAAATAGTTCGGCTACTAAAAAAAAAGATGAATGATCAAAATTTAGAAGTCAAAATGTCAAAATAAATTTTTTGTTTTACCAATAAAAGTTAAATTTTCATAAGCACTATCTAAATCATCTTGCAATGGATTTTTTTGTGCAGCAGATAAATTGTCAGTTGGTAATAATTCACATGGATTAGTAATATTAACGTTATTGTTATAGAGAGGATTTTTAAGCTAAAAAAGTCAAATACATATCACTTACAAAAAAAATAGGAATAAAATATATCGCATAGCTCAAAATCAATGAAGGTCTCAGTATTTCCCTTCACAATAAAAACCATACATCAACAGTTTTGTACCATTCACATGTATCAGTTTGAATATTGTTTAATCTATCAGAGTTAGTTCAAATTTTCTTCATTCATATGACACTGAACAATTCTTTGAAACTGAACGATACAATAACAAACTTTGAGTTAACTCAATATAATCTATTCGGTATCTTATATAAAAATTTCAGATTCTTCCTAAACAGTGGCTTATTCCATTGAGATAGAGATATTGTTTACAGCTAACAGAATACATTTTGTTTGGAGTATTCTATATATATATATCAATTTTTGAGAAATATTACTGAAATTCTTCAAATATACATCAACAATAGTGTTCCTATTTAACACTTATAATTGTTTATGACTCATTCTATTTTGCTCAGTTTTAAAAAAATCTACTATATGGAGACGAATAAACATCAATAGGATGCATGATATTTAGATTATTCGCTATAACAAGATTAACACATTCACTGTCCATGTTTCATATATGATTCATTTAATTTTTGATCATAGAATTCATGTCTCAGATATAATAACATTTGCAAGACACGTTTCACGTCCATAACAAAAAATCATATTTAGTCTATTCTTGCAAATGTTATCATATCTGAGACATGAACTCCATGATCAAAAATTAAATGAATCATATCTGAAATATGGACAGTGAATGTGTTAAGATATGTGTATCTATGTACAATAGGGAAAATTTTATTTCCTTTTTGCATGCAATGCATCTTAAATCTTGTGTGACTGTCGAATCTTTTTCAAATGTAATCAAGTACTTTTTTATCCACTACTTGCATGTAGTTTTTGAAAAGAAAAACGTGATACAAAAACATAATTTTTGGATACCGAAAATTTTGATTTATGACGAAGATTTTGACTTGTTTTGGATGAGGGTGGGATGTCTAGAGGTCAATAATAAAAGTGAGTTACTGTAAAGAGGATTGTTTTGAGCAAAATAGGTACCAGTTATGATTTTTTGCCAATGAACTAGTAAAACTGCTCATAACTGTGTAAGGAACATATTTTTAGAGTGAGTTAATCTTATGCGATTTTGTATATATTTAAGAGTAAAAACATATATCTGACTTTTCTATAGCAATTGATAGAGACTAGGCATTTTCTTTGAAGATAATTATTTTTTCGATAAAACCACATTTAAACCGTTGAGCTCTACATATAAATCTAACCTGACAGATCCCTTTTAGGTCACGATCATATACGGGTTGACGAACTCAAATTACACCCATCGCCTCAGATTTGTTTTTACAAAGAAAACGAAGAAACACACTTTAGTTCAAAACAGTATATATGGATAAGAAGAAGAGAGCAAAATAGTAGTTTGTATAACCATTTCCATAATGGAGATTGAAAAAAATTATAAATAGCATAAGTATTTCTAAAACTTCTTACAGCACAAATGCTGTGTGAATCGAGCTTATTTATTTGTGATGTTCTAAGAGGTATGTGTCAACAATCTACTGACACAGGACTTTTTCCATCAAATTATAAAACTGGATCGGTAATGAGCTTATATAAAACTAAAGAACATTATTTACCGAAAAACTATCGATCTACAACATTATTACCCATTCTTTCTAAGATTATAGAACATGTGGTATTTAATACTCTATATGATCATATAAGTAAAAATATTGACAAATGCTTTTGTATGCTATTTTCAAGACAATCTTCTAAGGACGGATTTTCACCTATCCTAACACTTTAAAAGAATACTTCTTTGACGTTTCTACTCAGACCTGAAATGTTTTTTATATAGAAAGGTAGAGAATTTTCCGAACTTCAGAATGAACTACAATATTTTGTTTTAAAAGTTTGTCGTCATAGATTTATTAGCTAAATGCTAGATAGATATCTCGATTTTTACCCATAGTGCTATATAAAAATGATTATAGTTTCTTTCACAGATAGAAATTAGGAATAGTTTGTATTTAGAAAAATGCAGAATTGAGAAAGCTACAAAATAATAGCACGTTGTTTCAAACCTTAAGTTTAATAGACTTTTTGGCAAAATACCGAACAGATATGACCTGTGAATGAAGTACAGTGCTGTTAAATATAGCGAGACTCGAAATGATTTTCATACAAGAAAATGCAGGAAATAACGAGCTTCAAACTGAAATATATTAGATTCTTGTAAACATATGCCTTCATACATTTCTACACTAAATGCTATACACATATGATAATTGTTGCTTAAAATACGTGACAAAAGTTTGAGCTTTTTCTTTTTTTGACTTTTTTTATCAACCACACCAACTAAAAGAATACTAAAGAATGCTTTGAGCAACTGAAACATTTTATCTATCCGATGAGACGTATATTGACAATCACACATCGAAATAGCTTACCACAGACCATTGTGAAAAGCACATCCACATCTATATTTATGTAAAGCAATTGTTAGAAATTCATTTTATAATCATCTATTCAAGTTTTTCATGTTTATAATATTCTCTTATTTATTAAATGTAAATAGGCTTCTTATAACTAAAGACATTTTTTTCTTTTAGTCATAAACAATTATCTAATATAAATTTATGCTAATATGGTTTAGTTTGAAATGAGAAAACATTTCTAATCCATTGTCCATTATATACTTTACAAAGATAACAATTACCTATTAATCTTAAAGATGTATATTGCATAACGATTCTATGTCACTCGAACCTCGAACCGTCAGTAGTACATCAATGAATACAAAAAATTTTTAACCTGACAATGACTATCGTAAGACATGTTACTGCGTACATTCTTAATACACAACGGTTTTCTATATACATATTCTGTAGACTTTTTTGTTTCATTTTTTTGTCTACCCTTGTGTGTCTTTTACTAATGTCAAACATGCCTCTCACATACCTTTTTTTCTTTCATTTGTTTATTTATTTTTTTTTTTATCATAGTTTCTCTGTTTTTTAGTTTCAACGCTTATACCTGACTATAATAATGAGATAATTGGTTCTCTCGTTTCGATAGTGTAAACTGTAACTTACTCATTTAATAAATTAGAACGTTTAAAGAAGACAAATCAATTTCATGCAAAAAGTAGTTTAACTTTGATTTTTTCTAATTCTTCGCTTGAAACTGAATTGAAAAGTCTTTATCTGGTTAACGGTGAAAAAACTTACATTTTGTCGTACGTTACTTTGCGCACCTTCAAAATTGATTTTTCTTAATCTAACAGTCATTTTATTAGAATACTTGGAGACTGTAGTCTTGACAGAACTTTAGAAAGCTTTCGGTTATTTTTTGAGATTTAGAGCTGGAACAAACGGATTGAATAGAAAACTAATCGAATTATTGTGACTATGCAATCCGTATCCATGAGGAAATCTTAGTATATAAAATGGCACGTATACCCAAGAATTAATACACACAAGCTGCTTCTATTAAAAAATAAGCTTTAAATTCATGAAAAAATCAGTATTTTTAGCGTAATTTTCACTTACACATTTTGTAGTAACATATTTCATACTTCTTTGTATTGAAAAATTTCAAGTCCGGAGCACATTGCATTCAAAAGTTATGAGAGAAATATCGAGAGTATCATCCAGTCCTTCTAGATCACAAAATATTTACCTTTTCTTCGATCAAATCCGAAAACGTTGGTGCTAATTCTGACGATTTTGGTTTTGATGGTTCAACATAATTTAGTAATGAAATTAAAAACGGATCCAAATATTGACCTTTCTAAATAATCAAATAAAATAGTGCATAATGTATATCTATGTGTTCTACTCTATTTAACTACAATAATTCTGTTTATGAACACGTCCGGATAAATGTATGTCTAATTTCGACTTAGTTTAAATGATAAAGTTCAATAAGCTTAAAGCTCGCATTATGTACTTGTTCTTTTTAAGATCTGTCTATTTCATTTTACCTCAATTCGTAATTTTCTTGGAACAACTTTGAACACTTTAGCTAAAATAGAGAGAAAAGTATAAAGAACAATGTAATCAAAATAATAATGAAGACAAAAGAATTAGTTATTAAACTTTGTCACCACATCATCAAATTAATACTTACATAGGATTAATTCACTACTTGGAGGATTAAATTCACCAGGTTGTGTTAAAAACGTATGTAGTAATTCACTATTACGTAATGTTGGTTTTGTCAATAAATGCTAAAAACAAAAGAAGAACATACAGACAATCAAATAAAAAAAGTTCGCTAGTTAAGCTCTAGGATGTAAAAAAATTTGTCGTGCCAACTAGAGCGAATATTTTCATATGTTTTTTTAAATATGCTTTAAATATATATTTACTCTTAAAAATCGTTCAAAATCTTGTTTAACTGATTCGAGAAATTCCATATTTTTTGTCACAAATGAACGTTTTGGAGGAAGTCGAGCATCGTCAAATATTCCATGAAATTCAATTAATTTTGATTCTAATAAATAAAAATCTTGATAACGTCTAAATGATATGAGAAAAATATTAAAAAGAAACTCAAATGTATACGGTCTTTTACCTTGTTACACTCCAATGGGAACTTTCATCGTCGTTTGTCATGGTGATATCGCCTAAATATGATAAATTATTCAATTTTTTTCAAAAACGCTATTCTAAAAAATATATACCATTATTTGTATCTAAACGTTGTATTTCTATAATTAATATGCAATATTTTGTTGATGTATTATTATCTCGACATTCTTCTGCGCGAGGAATAATTACTCGCCATAAACTCAAATCACGAAATATATTTTCATCAGATGACTAAAAAGATAAACTCACATACAAACAATATAAAAAATCAAAGTGGATACATACACTGTTACTTCCTATGCTGGTTGTATCCTCCGGACATTTTAAATGAAATTCATCTTTTTCTTCCATATCTAAAATGTATGTTATATTTTAAGTTTGAATGAGAATCTTTTCATATACAAAAGAATATTTACCTGCATACGATGTTGTTGTATATCGTCTTGCTATACTACCTTTTCGACTTTTTGGACCATCTTGTCTAAGAATATTAACAGATATTTAAGTGATTAGTGTAAGAAAAGTGACGAAGTAGAGAAAAGAAAATTCACAAATATACAGAATAAAATTAAGTACAAAAGATGTTTAGAGATATCTTTTAATAAACGTCGAGCAACTAGTAGTACGAAGAAAAATAGCAATATGAATTAAACACATGCATCTTGTTTTGAAAAAGTTAGAGAGAAAGAAAAACACAATAAGCAAAGTTACAGTCACCAAATCTGTTAGTTTCATCCTCCAATTCAGTATTATAACCCATTGTGCAATGATAGGCATCGTTACTGTAAAAGTGAGAGAGCAATACAGGAAAACTATCATTCTACCTGACTTAAATGTATAAATCGAATAGCCCTGTAGACGTATCGTATCTCGGTGCATGATTTTATAATTATTAAAAAAAGAATTGTCTTACTTTTGATCAAAATCTGTATTTGTATAATCAGATGAATCCATTCGTTTTCCACAAATATATAAGAAATGTTCATCACTTTTAAGAAAACATCGTTGATATTTTTCTTCTAATAATTCATAAATTTTACAGTGAAAACGTGATAACAATGTAAAAGTGTATTGAATATCAAACGGAGACAATTGTGTTTGTGATGACCCTAACATTTTCTTCTCATCATCTATCAAATTGCCTTTATCATTATCGTCATTAATATCCATCATTGTATTCGTACTATCTAATGTATCGTTGTAAATTAACTGTTTAATATCTTTAATTAATTTTTCATTGATATTTTCTGATTCAGTATCACTATTATTTATTTTTGGTATAAATATATACGAATCACCATTATCTGGATTCAAATATATATCGGTGATATGTTTTAAACGTCTAAATATTTTTTTTCTCACTAATATATCAGAAGCTAATGGAATATCATTGAGTACATCAGTCAATGTTAAATAAACACTTAATAATCCAATTGATGAATGACGATCTAATACACGGCTAAATTGACTCATTAATTCTTTCTCATATAAAACATCTGTTAATTCTAATGATAACTAAATAAAATAAAAATATAAAATTATTCATTATCAATTCTTTTATTTGAATACTTACTTGATTTTTATGAATAGGACCATTCATTGAACAAAAATGAGCTAATAATTCAACATAATTTTCTTGTTCTTTTTCTCCATCATTATTAGATAAAAATTGATTATTTTCTGAATTATAATCACGAACTGTTAAAGATGTTCGTCTTTTTGTTTCAAAATATAAATAAAACAAACGATTGATCAATTTTGGATCACAAAACATATCAACACCATCAATTAATATTTGACAAACAACTAATTCTCGTAAAAAATGTCTTGCTCCTTTACATTCATAAATATATTTTGGTGTTATAATAGGCATTAAATCGAGAAATAATTTTTTAAGATAATTTAATTCCATTTTTCGATTATACATTGATGGATGTAAATCAATACCAAATACTTTTTGAAGTAATAAAGATGAGGATAGTGGTTCTTGATCATTATTGATATTCATTTGTTGTTTACGAACACTAATATAACGTTCATAGGTTTTTAATAATAGAGGAAATAAACGACGTAATACAAAACTCTGAATATCAATCTAAAACAAGAAGATATAAATTCTTCTTCTAATTTCAAGATGATAAAATAGTACTTACATTTTTAAATCGTCGTATAACTGTTGCTAACAAATAACGAAAAACATATTTTGCTTCTAAAACTAGTGTATCATCGTGTGTAATTGTTCTGAAAAAAAATAAATCTTAAAATTGTCTAGAATAATAGTAAATAATTATATGACACTTACAAATACCAAGGATAAACATGATCCCGAAGAATTAAACAACAAAACTAAAAAGAATGAAGAATTATTTAGAGAAACAAGTATTTTCTTCTCTACCTCTTCAATGGCACTATCGATACGTTTTGATATATTTAATGATATCCATGGATTTTTTTGAAGATATTGACATTCTGAACTAAAACATAGACGTAAAATTAATTACAATATGAAATAATTCATTTTATCATTTACCTTTGTTTGAGTTCTAATTCGTCTTTAGCACTCTAATAATAAAGATAAAATAAGTAAATAATAAGAAAAAAAAAATCATTATTATTAAATTTAGAGAAAAACAAAACCCCATCAATATTTCCAATAAGAAACATTTTTAATAGAAATAAAAATGCATACCTGTTTAGTACTGAGAGACATGATCAAACTTGGCCAAAACGATAATAATTTTTGCGAATTGTTCAATGATGATCTAATACGAGAAAGAATTAGATACAATTATCATTGATAATTTGTTTAAAAATGAATATTTACATGTAATAACCATTCAATTTATAACCAATGAATATTGTAATCAGAAAAAGTAAAACATGAAATTTTCTAAATAAAAAAATAAAATTTCAAGAAATAAAATTCTTATTCAGTCTTGTATATTTGTATATACCCAAATAGCAGAAGGACAGTCAACAGGATGGTAACGGTAACTGATATCAGAATCATTATGGAAACGATATCTTTTCTGGATGTTGTTTCTTTCGCCTCATCAAACATCTAGGAAAACAAACAAAAAGAGCATGGATTAATGAACATGTCTATCTAAGATAAATTACATTTGTATGACAATGACGATAGAATCATTTGCACCTCAAGTATTGACTAAAAAAAAGTTTAAACTACCTTTATCTTAACTTCGAAATAGTCTTTCATTTTTCTAAATACAAGTTTTTCCTATGTAACCAGATTATGTTTTATGAAAATAAACACGCCTAATTCAAGAAAATTGATGATTTCAAGCAACTGATAAGGGATCCGTGAAAATGTCTTTACGGAAACCATTTAATAATGATTATTATGAGAATTTTTTGATTTTATCAGGAGTAACGTTTTAGGAAGATATTCTAATTGTACAAACAAAGAAGCGTACAATATTTTTTACAAAATTGTTGACATTTATTTTTCAATTTCATTCTTCTGCTACCTTTTGGCAGTCAATTTTTGATTTGACTATTTTTAAGTAAACTTTCATGTCCATTTAGAAATTTGAACACTGGTAAATGCGTTATATCACTAATATTTTCAAATGAAATTGCATCATCCTTGGAATACCAAAAGTGACACGTCATGTGTTTAGTACACTAGTGAAATTTTTCCACATTAAGTTAACTTTGTGGAATGAAGAGCAAAAGAAAAAAAATTTTGTTTTCGGTAAATAAAACACATATCAGCACATACTTTCAATCAAATAACGGGTGTCCCATAATACAGATTTCTTTGTATTTCGCCAATATCTGTCAATTTCTATTGTCAAGAATTGAACTTTTTAAAAAAGACTTTCTGTTTAATCCTCTACAAAACAGTATATTTTTATTGATGTAAATAACATACGTCGTTTTTCTATACGAGATACAAACGAACAATCCAAGGTAACCAGCTATCTAACACGATGTCTTGTCAAATTTCTTGACTGCACATTTCATTTCACTCTTCAACCAGAGTTCCTTTTGATGTCACTTTGTGTCACTTGATGGCATGAACAAGTTCATCCCAAATGGAGTAGTCCAAAGGGTTTAGATCTGGACTGTTTGATGAGTAATGGTCTTTATCGATGATAGAGTGAAAATTGTCCCGACACGATTGTTGTGTTAAATTATGTTTGTAAACTCCCACACCATCTTGTCGAAACATCTAATAATTTCCAAAGATCTCATTCGCAAACCTGAGAGCCACTAGAATGATATCTTGGATATATCGAGCAAGACTCACTAACTGTCCCTTTGTCGAAAATCACTGACAGTGTCACTTCTTTCGAGCCAGCTTCCAATCAGACCAAAATCTTGAGAAAACTTTCATTTCTGCTTGATTCTACCGTTCTTCTCGGCTTCCGCACGATTCGCTGCTCAGATTCGTTCCATTCTGAGCATCGTACACACTATCAATACCGAATATATTCTCATCGGAAAACAAAATCCGTATTGTCTCTTCCTTTCAAAAATTGTTTCGGATCCAACATACAAACTTTCTTCGTTTGTCCTTGTGTGTCAGTAGGTAGTGGTTCGATTGCCTTCTTGTTTCCTAAGTTTCATATCTTTTTTTTTGTGTTTGATGAATGCTTGTTCGGGAAATATCTAATTCTCTGGCCAACATTCTCACTGACACCCGCTTCTTCCATTTCAATCGATCCTTGACTGTTTGTTGTTGTTCTCTTGCTTCGAACAACATGCAGGCGACCGGGCGGACTTGATAGCTGGATAGAGCCAGTCTCGCGAATCATTTTGCATCATCGTTTAATGAGGGCACCATTCAAATCACGAAAGATTTTAATTGGACCGTTGCCGTTTTCATCCTTAGATAGAAAGTTTCTTGTAGAGAATTAAACAAGGAATCTTTTTTAAAAAAAAATTGAAGTCTGGACCTTGTAAACTGACAGAAACATTGACGAAATAGTGAGACACTCCTATTATACGAAACTCGTTACTTTATTAATTGAAGACGGACATGAGTAGATAGCTTCAACCTCTTTTCTGAGAACTAATTATCTACGGTTTTTTTAAACGCATATGTAATGTCATTTACGATGTAATCCATCCAATATTACCGGGATAAAAAGAAGACAATGAATAGTGTTTATAACTTTTAGAAAATAAAAAATAGACTCACTGGCAGAGCAAAAAAAAATAACAACCACACGCTGCGTTTGCTTAGTTATATATATATAGAACACCAGAATGAAGCAAACATAAAAAGATGAAGCGAAAATATAACCGATCTCGATTAACTTTAGAAAAATCCATGTTAATTTATCATACGGATTTTTCTAAAAACATACACATATACATAGTAGACTTAGTGTTATTAATAATACAAAAACAACAACAATATAGTAACAATAAAGTTAAACAGTGAAACGAAAAGAAAGCAGAACATAAAACATAAAAATATTTGTCATTATTATAAATATAAATTGCTTGTTTTCATGAATAACTGTACATAATAGAAATAGAGAATTTTGACAATAAAAGAAAGATTAGAACTTCTATATATAATTAAAAATTTTGACAAAAAAATAGCTCAAGATTTGGATGATAGAATTCTCGTCATATGTACATATCAAACGAAAGAGAGGTGGGGGAAAAAATTAAGAAATTATTTATTATTTGAATTTCATTTAGACTGTGGTATTATTATTCGCTTCGTTTAATATAACTGTCTTTTTTGGGCTAGTTGATGTGTTGTGAACAACGTCCTCTGTATTTTCCGGAATAGATGATGCCCGTTTATGAACAAAATTATTAAATTCTGGCGTTGGTCCTGATGCGATTGGTTTTTCTTCACTACTCGTTACCTAGAGAGAATAAAATGATGATAATTGGAAAGAAAAAAATATTTAATTACTCTTACTTTATCATCTTGTTTGTTGAGCCAAACTTCTATTTCTTTTATATCTCGCTCAGGTTCCTAATAATAATAAAAAACATCTTTAATAATTCTGCCAACAAATTATACTGATCGTAATAAATGATAATAATCAAATTACACAAACCTGTGTTTCTGCACTTTCGATAGGATTATTCTGACGTGCAGACGAATGGGAAGCACTAAATAAATTAATGAAAAAATAAAATAAGAGTAACTGAAAGCACAATGATACGGAAAGAATGTGTTTTAGCAACAAAAATATTTTAATTTCACATTGATACACACATACACACAATAGCCAAACAACACTTTTATCTTACGAATGAAAGTTCATTTGTCTTCTTCAAAAAAACAGAATTAGAATAGGAATCTTTTATATTTTCATAATCCAACGCCAGACTTACGTTGAATTTGAAGGTTTTGGTACAGCATCTGGCGATTGATTAAGACCTGAAAAACTGAAATAAGTTAATGTTAATAATTGGGGGAAAAACATTTGCTTACGCATATTTTGAAATCCTGTTGCGAATTGAGGTGAGGAATGCTGTGCACTAGGAGATACTGGTTCATCGTCGAATTTGATCAATGCAGGCTGATCATCACTAACACTTGTGGTTGATAACTACGACAAAAACAGAAACAATTATTTTTTTTGTGATATGGGAAATATGGTTCATTTACTTACTTTCTTTACAGGTATTTGACGTTGCTGTGTTTGTGGATAACGATTCGGCGAAGATGTTGTCTGTGACGGCGGAACATTGATCTGTTGCTGTGAATGTGACTCAGGATCAACTACTTTTTCACGCCGTTCCATATAACTTGCATAGTTCCTGAATGCATTATTGAGTTCATCATTATATCGAAGAAGATCAACTTAAATGGATATACTCATAAAATCATTAAAATAAACTTTTTTTACGAACAATACCTGTTATTTCATCAATTGCTATTTGACTAAGTAAATCAATAATCCTTGCTTGCATTTGTGTACATGTTTTGTAAAGATCCTTCAAATAAAATGCAATGATGCAAAAATTATACAAAATTGAAATGCTACTTACTGTTAATAATTGGTAGTCTTTTATGTGTTCTTCACCTGGTATTAATGTTACAAGCATTTCGCCAAACACTTGAACATTTGTTTCTACAACATCAAGTTCACTACGTAGTTTAGCTACTTGTTCAGCTGTTAATGATCGGATATTTCCAATGCCAGTATTACGGTCAGAAGCAGATTGTTGTTGATGAGGAGAAGTAGAAATAAACGGTTGTCCATCAGACCCGCTTCGATTCTATTAGCAAAAAAAAACATAAATACTAGAACCTAGAAGTAAACATGACGTTACGGAACAACGACAATCATACCGCTTTACTTGACGGACGACCCGGAATAGGTTGCGACTAACGAAGACAAGAAAAAAACTTGTAACGAAAGTTTAACTATTAGCAATGTTAAAAAATCTTACAAGTGTTCTTGAAATATTTGATGGACGTTCTAGTGTACCCTGAAATTTGCATGAATGCATCGTCATGACTCTTTTTGTATAAATAGAAAAACGATACCGTTGCAGGAATGACTGCTTTTGCTGTGCTTTCATTTTCCGCCATAGGAAATTCAAGACCTTGTTGTTTACATTCAAGATAAAATAGATCAACAACTTTCAAATCTGGATCATTACGCATTGCTATTGCCCATGTCTAAAGAAAACAACGTCAACATACAAACACTGTGATCAAAGTGAAAAAGACTATATATTTTACCTGAACCATGCCAAGAACTTTTTCTTGAACGATAACAGGTGGATTGTTTTTTGGTCCGATAACATTTTTTAATTCTTTTAGAAAATCTTTACTGGCGATTTGTAGATGAAATATCTTACCACAGTTTTTTGATAATGCTTCAAGTAGCTAGATAGAACGATACATGAGTTTATTAGCATGTTATATTAGAAACAGTTATTTCAAATGACATACTGTGAGTGTCAATAAAATTCCTCTCCAACCACCTGCTGTTCCTGCTTGTAAACGTTTTCGAATTACTTTTATTGCCTCTTTTGCACTAAAGTCAAAACCAACATCATTCATATGTAGGCTTCTTTCTACACAAGAGGTACGCACTTGTCTTCATTTTCAACAACATTATCGCATATTTGCATAATCAAGTCCCAATCCTCATTTAGGTTCGATGGATCCGTTACTTTTTCTATCGCCTGTTGAAGAGGCGTAGACGCAGACGCAGTTAAGCGACTAAAAAATCCAGCCATTATTTCATACTAAACATCTAAAATGAATAAATGATCGTTTCATGTTCTTTATGACGAATGACGGTCTGATAAACTTAACTATTGATTTCTATTCAAAGACGTCTACTAATTTCGTCTATACATTTAAAAACATAACAAAGTCAGTGTATCGCTTCGGACAAGTTATGTCATGGCATAAAGAAAAGATAAAATCTTTTTGTTCAATATGCTTAAACTCGGCCTTTTCTTATCATCATTCTTTGTTATGAGTAGCAATATTTTTTCGAGCGAAACTCATGGTGCATTTCTGCAGAACAAATAATTCAGAATCTGATCTTAAAATTATTAAATGGCTGTACACTCCTCGTTCTCAGACAACTCCCTGATCTCACTATTGAATTATATTAGAAATCCCGTACTTCTACAGATCGACCACCTCCCTACCACTATCATCACTCACCCTCACCGCCGCTCACTTTTACCACTAGGGAGGTGGTCGATCTGTAGAAGAACCAGAAATTCTGCTGAAATATTCAGAGACAATTAACACATGCTTTTCTTTCAAGAAAAGTGTTCGCTTTGGACTGAAAAATTAATTTTTTGACTTTTTCACATGAGTGAATAACTAAGTGTCCATTTTAGAATTTGTATCGTTTTTTATTCTACCTTATGTCCGCTTACCATAAGTTTTTAAAAACGCTTTTGACATCGTAAGAAACATGCTGTTAATGACTACTATTATTCTATAGTTATGCATCACAGATTCTCTTTTGACTATACAAATTGCTTCAGCAAATTATTCTCTTCAAAAAAAGACGTGGCGTAGTTCTGTGCCACTTGGCTTTAAAAATAGTCATGGGTAGCTAAAATTACTTCGTTCTAAAATCGGTTTTTCACCATTGAATATTTTGTAACTTGAATCTCTACGTCAAAATGGCTTTAAAAAGTTTTTAAAGTTGAAAATATGTTTTAGAATAAAAACCTAGTCTAATTCCGGATAAAAAACGATATTTTGAAAACTATACTATAGATGATGCTAGTGTGCGGTGCAGCTTAGTCTGCTTTCCTAGCATATATATATGTTGTAGCGAAAACTGGAATTCGGTGAAACTCTAGATTTCGCTAGATAAAAGTGAAATCCGTGTTTTCCTGCTGAAATCTACAATTTGACTAGATGAAACTCGAATCCAAGTTTCCCTGAAGAAAACTAAGATGCATGCGTATGCCAATTGAAATCTGGCGGGTGTTTCATAAAATTCTTAAGTGTCCGACTTAACTAAGACCTAAGTGAGACTTAAGTGTATAAAATTAATATGTAAGTGTACAGAATGAAGACTTACATCTAGACTTAGTTAAGCCGGGCACTTAAGAATTTTATGAAACACCCTCCTGGAATTTCATCAGGTAAAAGTGGAATTATTGTAACGGGAAAAGAAATCAGTTTGTCTATTGTGTTGCAGCTGTTGTTGTGATGACTGAATATGAAGCTGTTGTTGTTGTGACAGTTAAATTAGCGTCATTTACAGTATTGGACGTTAAAATAGTAGAATTTAAGCACAGCACACTTTGAACAATCACAGATAGTGATTCCGTTGCGTTGTTATCATCCATAATCAAAAATCGTAGGGTACGAAAAACATATAATGCTATGTACGTCTTATCAAGTATATAGAACAAAAGGACGTGAAAAATGCGCTTGGAAGATATGGCCTTGTCTACACTACAAAAGTTAAAGGAGCTTTAAGCAATTCTATTGACTAAAAGTTAGTTTAACCCAATAGAATTGCTTAAAGCTCCTTTAACTTTTGTAGTGTAGACAAAGCCTATTATATTATTTTTCACTTTTATCTCGTCCAATTGGGTCAGTAATGGTTAACACTTTTAACAAAGACACTACTTTATGTAACAACAATACAGCAAATATCTCATTCTATTCGTAGTAAAAAGCCCACGTGCAAAGCAATAGTGACTTTCGACCAGAGGTCTCAAATTATTTTTTTCAAATGTGGGACAGAATGTTTCGAATGGAGGACGCTTATTTTAACGAAATAACGTCATGTCAATCTAAAATACTCGATGAGCTCAACTAAAGTCATATATTGCAAATAAATTAAAAACAATATTGTGAATTTTTTAACCATTTATCGTTAGAATTATACTGTCGCTTCTTCTTATAGTTCTAATTCATCAGATGCTAATTTTTCAAATTTCAAACAATAGATGTTTCCTTTCAATTAGGTTTTATCGACAAATTCATATCACACATCTGAGAAACCCTGAGACGCACACGACAGGAAGAGTGACGTTTTTAGGGACGACTCGAATCTCAGACCATTCCGAGAGATCGGGTTTGTTTTAAATCGAAGAAAAATGTGGATTCTATTTATCTAAAAACTGAGCTTTATCTTGTAGGGTTGCCGAGATATGAGCAACACAAAGTTTTCAATCTGAGCGATGTTTTTTCAGAAGTGAGTCGAATTTTAGAATGCTCGTTTCTCAACAACCAAGCAATGCTTTTTCAAACAGAAAACGCCATTTTACTCAGAAATGTCTATTTTTTCTTTTATGACCGGTTTCAACGAGTTCTGTGACATACGTTTGAGCAGTGTTCTATGTAACGCAGTCGCCGCTTATGCGAAATGGCTTTTCAAGTACGGCATTGGAGGAGAGGGGAGGGAAGAAAAAGAGATGCAAAAAGTAGCCTTTAGACAATGTGACTTTTCATTGATCTTTGTAAACAAATTTATTTTGTTTGTATAAGTTGAAATATATTCCCGTTACATTAATTCCACTCTTACCTGGTAGATTTCACCAGGAAAACTCGGAATTTCACTGGAGAAAAGTGGAATCGAGCATGTGCACACACATGCATCTCAGTTTTCGCTGGCGAAATCTAGAATTTCACCGAATTCCAGTTTTCGCTACAACATATATATCGGGTGGTTCAGAATAAATGACTCCTCGTATTTTGCTTATAATTTCTCTTCTTTGAAATTCTTAGACCTGATTGTTTTTCCAAAAGTTGCGCCGTCAAATTCTCTACAAGACTTCAGCTTTAAAAGCACATTTCGCTTTTTAAAATTGTTTTTTGTTGCCGAAAAAGCTCATTTTTTCTAAATTAGCGGCGAAAAAGCCGTAATTCTGCCCGTGATTCTCAATTTTCTCTATCAGAACTCAACTTTTATGCAATAAAAATATCATATTCGAAATCATGATCAAAAACTGAGTCGATTAATGTACATCTGTTCTATCCGATTACTTCAATTTTTTTCGAACTTTCACGTCCAAAAATTACCGAGATTTTCACCAAAAACTGAAAATCAACTAAACATTTCAAAGTACACATTAAGCGACTCAGTTTTTGATCGTAATTCCGAATATGATATTTTTATTGCCTAAAAGTTAAGTTCTGATAGAGAAAAATTGAGAATTAAGACTTTTTCGCTTTTAATTTAGAAAAAATGAATCTTTTCAGAAACAAAACTTTAAAAAAAGCGAAGCATGCTTTTAAAGCTGAAGTCTTGTAGAGAATTTGACGGCGCAACTTTTGGAAAAACAATCAGGTCTAAGAATTCAGCAAAAGCGTCATTAACTTTCAGCGAAGTTGATGACATGCAAATGATGGCTTTAATTCCCGCACTTTAGAGAACTGGTGCGCTCGACAAGCTTTTATCTTCGAAATTGATCAAACACTGTTTTTCTATTCAGTTTACTCGAACAAATCGGATTGAAAATAGTACCAGTAGGCTCAGAACAATCTAGAGATGAATTTAACACACTTTTTGGGATATTCTTACCCTTTCTTTCGGGTGTTCGTTAAGGGTCGCCATACTCAGCTCGACGAGCTCTGTCGATTGGCTAATTCAGATTTTAATTTAGCGGTGTTCGTGGATGTTTGCGTCTTTTAGTAATACCCACTGAAAAATCTAACATTCCAAAATCTCCTATTGTTCGGCAAGTGAATTTATGAAGAAAGCTTTAAGGAACTTTCACCGCTGAATTCGGCACAGGTGTCATATCCCATCAAAATAAAAAAATACCGAGAAAAAAGGTGCTATTTTGGTTTTGTTATGCAGCATTTGCATTTTTAATACTATTCTAGTTATCAAACATTATGTACATGGTGATGAAACAATGTCATAATGTTTGATTTCCGCCAGATTTCAATCGGCATACGCATGCATCTTAGTTTTCTTCAGGGAAACTTGGATTCGAGTTTCATCTAGTCAAATTGTAGATTTCAGCAGGAAAACACGGATTTCACTTTTATCTAGCGAAATCTAGAGTTTCACCGAATTCCAGTTTTCGCTACAACATATATATATGCTAGGAAAGCAGACTAAGCTGCACCGCACACTAGCATCATCTATAGTATAGTTTTCAAAAAGAATCGAAAAATGCTAGCAATTCGATAGTAAAGTCTGTCTGCTGATAGAGTGCAGATGATTATAAAGTTTTGAACAACCGATAATGTGCGAGTGTGTATTGAATCGAAATTCCATTTTATTTCCATTTATATCTATTATATTTAAGAGGCAAGTGGAATCTTTTTTTGCTAAGCAATACACTAGTTGTATTTTGTGGTGTTATTTTTTTCTTTTTAGTTTCGTATTTCTTTAATTTTTGTCTGTGTATCCGTTGGGCATTCTCTGTTTTAGAATGATGTAAAAAATAAAGTGTTACTTTATTGGTGACAAGTGAATTATTGTATGTAACTCTGCATTTAACTGGCTTAAAAATTAAAACAGTTATATGCTATAAGTAATGCTTGAGTTTAACAGGGTTTTCTTTCTCACACAATTGTATGCAATTATTTTTTGCACTAAACTACCTTTAGTTGTCCTCACTAATTAGATTCAACTACAACTAAAAATTAACTCAACTCCTGCAGTGGGAGACGATTATAATTATTGCCATTAACCCTATAATTAATTCGAACGGGATCAGCTAAGACAACAAACAGAAAAAGGAAAAGAACGTTTAAATATGTTAATTCAA